TAACATTGAGAAGCTGTCCACCAGGGCTCTTGGCTACTTGTTTTTGTTTGTTTATTTGTATGTTTTGTTTTGATTTTTCAGTACTGGGGATTGAACCTAGGGTCTTCACACTGAGCTACAAACCCACCCCTTTTTTATTTTGAGACAGAGTCTCGCTAAATCACTGAGTTGTCCAGTCTGGGCTTGAACTTGCATCCTCCTGCCACAGCCTCCCAGAGTCCTGGGAGTACAGGCGGGCACTGCCATATCCAGTGAACTTGACTCTTCTTGAAGCTTCATCCATGTTTTCTGAAGACTCCAGAACAGCGGTGGTGAACCTATGGCACACATGCCACAGCAGCATGTGTGTATCATTGAAAGTTCTAAGCAGTTGGCCATCACTGCCCCATGAGCTAGTAATTTTTTCCTAATTCTTACAGTCCTACTTTTGCATCTGAGACTAATCCTACTGCACCATAGACCTGGGTAATGACAGTTTCCCATGCCAGGAGAACCAGAAATACCTCCTTTCAGACAGTTTCTCTAGCTCTTCCTTCTTACTTTCCTTTGCCACATGATCGCCAGTTGGCTGGTTCTAGATATCACTGGGAAGCAGAATCACACACACCAAGAATAGTAGCAATCAGGGATGGAATGACTCTTTAATTTTTTCCAGTAGTGCAGATTGAACCCAGGGCCTCTGCACTGAGCTATATTCTCATCCCTTTTTATATTTTATTCTGAGACAAAGTCCCCTAAATTTTTCCAGGCTGGGGTTCAACTTGTGATCCTTCTGCCTCAGCCTCCCAGAGTGTTAGAATTACAATCATGCACCACCATCAGCTAGTTTGTTTTTAAACTTGAATAGAAAAGAAAGTCATATACACAAATATTTGGAAATAGAAACAATTTGAGAGATAGGAGTTGGCAAACATTATCATGCCAGTCAGGCAAAATGGAAGGAGGTGAGAGAGACTGGAAATGGGAATGAATTCATGGGTATCAGAGACCTAAAGCATCACTGGAAAAATTGATCCATATTACAGAGAGGAACCATGAAGAATCGTGGTTCAATTCGGCTAAGTATGCATGTTATATAACTAAGCTGCAAAATATGGATTGGACTTTCACGGTGCAATCTTCTGATCTTAATGTGGCTCTACAGATATGTTTACATGCCAGAAAAACTGAGGTGTATGATTCCCCAATTTTTTGAATATGTGCATATACGTATATGTGTATATGTGAACCTATGTATATACAAGCTGTATATGCACATGCATATGTACATGAATATATACGTATATATGCATGTTTATCTTGTTCGCATGGCCAGTGAGATTCACTCTTAAGAAACAGATATATTCTCAATGTGCTAGCATCAAGTTTCTGAGGCTTTCAATTTAAAGTCCAGATTTCAGACTGTGGTAAGTTCATCAAAATAATACTGGCCACCTGTATTTACTGCTGCCATTTCCTCTGTCACGTATTTTATGATTATCATCAAAAATGGTTATAACCCCCACTTAGAAATTTAGCAAAAGAGGTGACATGATGTATAATTATCATCTTCAGCCCTCACAGAAATTTTGGAGTTCTTCTTATGATCCTATTGTCACAAATGCCAAAACATCAGAGAAAGGAGGGTTGTAATTTCAAAAAAAAAAAAATCTAAAACACTTGTTCTCCAAAAAAACCTATACTAAGCCTCCTTTGCTTCTAAAGATTGCATGATCAAACTGAGCAAGGCAGTGAAGTCTGTAATCCCAGGACTCTGGGAGGGTGGGGAAGGAGGATAGCCAAGTTTGAGCCCAGGCAGCCCAGGCAACTTAGTGACTTAGCAAGACCTTGTTTCAAGATGAAAAATTAAAAAAAAATTAAAATGGAGTAGGATTTGGCCCAATGCACAGGCCTTGGGTTCAATTTTCACTGCCAAACAAAAAAAAAAAAAAACAAAAACAAAAAAAGGAAGAAAAAAGAATCCATAATCAAATTTATTCAAAAAATAGCTACTGATAGTTGAGATCTTACAAGCACTCAAGAAATTCATGAAGATGCATTGGTTGACTTCTTCAAAGAATTCTATGAAATGATCAATATTATCTTTTATTTTAAAATTAAAAATATTGAAGGGTAGAGCATTGTGGACTGTGTTCAACATTTACAACCAAACAAAACCAAAACAACAAAAACAAAACCCCACAAATGAAAACCGAGCATGGAAGCCACATCTGGCTCCAAAGCAGTGGCCTTCTCATTGTTTCTGGGCCTAGCCCTGTTAGCTAGTGGGCAGAATTTCAACTCCAATGTAAGTTCGCTGAAATGCCTGGCAATTTCAGCAATACTTTATACCTTGGATCATTAATTTCATGTAAGGAACTCTTCCCTCCCAACTTCCCACATCATCACATAAAGCATACTACTCCAAGTAGTATGCATGGAGTAGTAAATAAACTCCAAGCCAAATTGACAGGAGAGCCTGCTGGTTCCACCTTCCTGAAACACTGTCTGAATTGTCACTAATCCCGTTCACTTCCTATTTCAGTAAGTACTGGCTTCCTCAGCACTGCCTTCTTATGGAAGGAGTTGAAGGTTTTAATGCCACACATGTCATCTTCAGCCCCCATGGAAATTTTGCAGGTCTGCTCTCATGGTCCTCCTGTCACACCTAGACTACGTGCAGCCTCCCCTGTGGTCTTTCCTCAAGTTTATGAGTGAAGCCTTGGGCTATGGTCAACCTCTTCTAATTTCTTGGAATCATCTCCTCAGGGTCCTTCCTGAATCAGTTTTTCCTGGCTGTAAAATCTGCTGCTAGAGATGAAGTTTGGTGACTCCAATGAAATTAAGAACAAAGTATAGTGCAATATCCAGGCCACAGAATGGCTACTGAACACCTCGGATAGAACTGAGTAACACTGTTTATGTTACGTCAGGGGCAGCATTACTTATGTTGAGTAAGGATGCTAGTGCTAGTTCATCCTACATATCTTAAGATACCACAGTTTTAAATCTTAGAAACTATGTACATGACCTCCAAGCCCCCAATGGAAATATAACTTCAGGTCCATAGCATTTCCAAAATTATCAGTTAAGGAAAAATCATACATTACAATTTACAACTCTAGCACTAATAACCTAACAGATAAAATAATGCAACTCTTTGTACCTTTTTGGAACACATCACATTAGTTTCATCATGGCCTGTGAAATATTTATGGTATACATGACTGATCCAATATTAGCAAAGCACAATTAAAACCACAATCCCATACTAATATTAGGAAACATTTGTAATGCTTAAAGTGAAGTATATGATAGCTAATATCGCATTTATTTAACATATACCATGATATCATAGTGAAAGTCATTATGAATCTCATAATTATTTAAAATTCTATCTCTTTGTACAACAAAGCCATGTTCCGATTTTATCTCAATAACAGGGGCTAGAAACTACAACAAATTTTATATGTATTACAAAGTTTCTCCTTTATTATTATAACCAAAGTGTAACAATACATACAAACTGGAAAAAAATGTAATCATGCATACATAACACGATGTACTTAATTTGAATTATTTTCCATCTTAACACATGATTTCACTTTATCAAGTGTCAATGAGCATGTGGTGCTTTTGCGGTTCAAAATGTGATAACTAAATTTTATTGTAATGAATGACAACATTATGCTTGTGGGATACTGGGGATTGAACCTAGGGCTTTCACACTGAGCTCCATATCTAGCCTTTTATAATCTCTTATTTTGACATATGATCTTACTAAGTTGCTAGTTGCCTAGGTTAGACTACAATTTGTACTCTTCCTGTGTCACCCTCCCAGAGTCCTGGGGTAACAGGCATGTGCCACCATGCTTGGTTTCGTGATAACTTTTAGTAAAACAAGTCAGTCAACATCAAAGACTCTTTTTAATGTTAACTGGTTAAAAAGAAATTTGACATAGACTACATAATCTTATAATTGTACTTATGTCTTCCAGACCTTTCAAATGAATATTTCTCTGCCACAAGTCTCCCTTTCCTTTTATTAAAATCCTATGAATTTACATTTCTAAAAAGGGATTAGGTTGCTTTATAGTGGGATCTGTTTGCTTTAAAAATGATAATTTTCAGAATAAATGAACCTTTTATTCAAGTTCTTAAAGATCATTTTAATGAATCTATTTTTATAATACAATTGCCTTTTCACATTTATTGCTGTCCCAAGTACAATAAGATTTTTTTATGGAGTGTCTCAAATTACACACTTCATTATAATAGAAGTTGATTTAATTAATTGCTCTACAATAACCATTTAGACTTCTTTTTTATAATTTTAAATTTAATTTTATGGTACATCTTAGGTATACAATATAATGACATTCATCTTTGGAAATTTGCACCTTTACATAATCTCTCTTGGTTCTTATTTTTTTCCCTTCCCCTGCCCTCCCTTCAACCCCTCCATTCCTCCCTATTTACAAAGACTTTGTTTCCGTTTTTTCATTTTCTCATATTAATTCCATTCCCTTCTTTCCTTTCCCCTACCCCTCCCACTTCCCCTTTGCCCTTTCTCTTCCTATTTCACGTTATCTATTATACTTTTTAGTCCTTATTAACATTTCAGTTTCTCACACCTGAGAAACTATTCATTATTTACACGTGTGTCCTATTTATTTCACTTAAGAGTATAACCTCAATGTGCTCCATTTAGCTATCAATGTTTCTAGTTTCTCATTCTTTATGGCTCAGTAGTACTCCATTTTATAAAATAAAACACATTTTACCATTTAGACTTCTGAGTCATTATGTTTTATTTGTGATGGAGACAAAACTTTAAAGATTTCCTTTTAAAGAAATGTATATATTGTCAAAAGAAAGCATTATAGTTGATTTATTTAAGCAGACCTGAAAAATTCTTTTTAAAAATAACAATGTTTTATAAAAGATTTTATACTATAAAGACAGAAAACTAAGAAAGAAAAACACAGAGAGAGAAAAATCTAAAACATGTTCCTACTTACCAGGTGTGAAGTTGTAACGAGCTGAAAATCCCATAGACTCCAGTTCTCCATCAGCAAAAAATTTAATCCACAGAAATCTTCCACTGGATTTTATTACAGGTGGATTTTGTTGTCCACAAAAACGTCCAATTATTGGAGAAAAGCCAAAAGGTCCATCTCGAACTTCAATATGATCAAATTTGCATTCCCAAGACGGTTCAATAGAATATTTTTCATCAAAGTAAAGTTCAATGCACTGTCTTGGGGCAGCTGTGAAAAAGAAAGATTATGTCTTGAAGGCCATTTCTTATATATTTAGGTGAATTTTGGGGGTTCTATTTCAGGTTTTACCTATACACTTTTTTCTAACTCTGCTGATGCCATGTGTGGAAATGCAATAAATGGAGATGACAGTTAATATTTGAAGGAATATTTTCATAAAAATACCAAAGGGGTGCTGGTCCTTAAAACTGATAAATTTGCACAAAATGTCATTCTGATACAAGTGCCAACAAAACTAACATATCACAGTACTTTTGCAAAAGCCTGCTAACGGAGATTTAAAAGGTTGAGTGGTACTGTTCTCTTCTCTTATGTATTCTGGAGTGCCTGGTTTTAAGATCAGAAACCACTTGAGAATTGTTCAGCATAGAGTTACATAATCATTCAAGTAGTTCCAGTCAGGTGTACTGATGAGATCCCAATTCATATATAAGGATATCTGAAGTAGTTTTTCTAGAGCAAAAATCTGATCCTGCACACTCAGTATAATCTTTGGCATGTCTCTATCAGCTGCAGGACAATGATCAACAGCCTTGACCTGCAAGAGCCTTACTGACATCGCGCTTTCAGGATTCTATCACCTTACAAGGATCCCAAACTAGGACCACTTCAACATGTCATGATTTCTAAGATAGTACACCCTTTCAGGCTGCTATGCATTTTTCTCACTTTCTTCCATATCAACATACATACAATTTAACTCCTCTTTATTTAAGAACATCTTGTTTAAATGGAACTCCACTCTACATCTGTTCATGAAAGGCAAGACCCATACTTATTTAGCTTTCTTTTCTCAGCACAGAATTTGTCACTAAGGATTCCTCCTCCCAAATCTTTTTGAGTGAATTATAAAATGAACTTATCTTTATAAATGTTTTTATAGCCTTCTAAAAAAACCATGGAAAAGCCATATGGGATTACCAATCATATAAACCACCATTTGACTGTATTATCTAATGTTCTCCCATTCTTCCCTTGTGAGAAGTCCAAAACAGACTAAAATTCTGTTATATTCAGCAAGGATACTCTGGAATGGCTGTAATATCAGTTGAAATATCAGTGCACATTTGTCCAGGTTGGCCCCCAGCTGTTGCTCTGAGATGTTGGAGTGCTTCCCTGGTCCTTCCCTCAGAGTCTTACAGGTTCAGACTGGGCACAGCACAGCCTGTTGCCAATGTGGTCAACAACCGTTCTGATGGCTGCTATCCATACTCTGGTAGTTCTCAAATGTGTATTGGATATCATCCCTGATGACCTAAATATTCAACCCTTGTACACACGGATGTCAAAAATTTATATAGTATTGAGATATACGAAGACCTGGGAATCAGAGACTTGCAGAACATAATATAATCCTACTACTCTCCAAGTATAAAATTAAAAATCAATTGGTAAAAGGTCAGTTTGTGTTCAAAGATTATTTTATGAAGTATTTTTAACCTCTGACAGTATTTCTTACTTTTCTAGGATTGAAAAGAGATATTTATAACACCTATTAGAAAAATTAGGCATAATTTTATCTAATATTAATGTATATTGCAAAGGTCAGCATACATAGAATCCAAAATAGTGATAGATTTGAGAAAGTGTCTGTCAAATATTTGAAATCTGGAAATTTGAACATATCCTAAGAAATCACCTGGAAAACCACGTATTAATCTAAAAGTAAAGAGGCAAATCCTTAAGCAACTGAACATGTTTTGGATTTTGGACTAAATATGCCATTTGCATGCATTACTATTCCACAGAACATGTCTGCTTGTTCATTTCCACAGATCATGTCTGCTTGTTATTTCCTCATGGTAAGTCATGGGGAAATAAACTATTTAAGAATGTGGGGTAATTCTTTTAGAGGTATAGAATATATGGTTAGGAAAAGGTAAAGAAATGAGAAGAGTCCTGTGCTAATTTACTGAGATATTTGTCTATATCCTCCCATTTCCCCATTAGGAAATACATGATTATATTACACAAATTTAATTATTCTTACCTTCATTTTTATTGTTATTTAAATTCTGTCCCACATGGATAAACAAATTCTCCAATGTCTCTTTCAAAATGATGCTATCATTATGACTTTTGAAAACAATTCATTTTCCTATGGTTCAGGAAACTTTAACTTTCCTGTTAACATTGTCTACATATACCTGCATAGGAAAAGTCCACTAGCTGAATTTTAAGAGATAGTAAAATAACTTTTTAAAAATAAGTGTGCTATATAACTCTTCTTGTAAATTTTAAAAATAAGTGATTATGGCATAAATAAACTATGGAAGCTTTCTAGGTTCAATTCCTTGAACTTCTATTTTCTTCAAGTTCAAATCACTCCATTCACAGCTGCTTCATATGTTAACATTTTCCCTGAACTGCCTAGGATAAAACAAAACAAGACAAAACAAAGCAAAACAAAACACCCTGAGGTTCCTTTATGAGAATCCTCAACCCGTTGGTGAGTCCTTGGACATGTTCTACACTATAGGCAGTCTCACTTGAATAGTGAACATTTATACATTTTATTTCCTCCAATTTTAGGGTGTTTCAAGACCAGCAGAAGTCCATGAAAGAATCTTTCTTACTGTGACTGAGATTCCACCTGTATCATTTATCACAGACTGTCTAACCACAAGAGATCTGATCAAGTACTTGTCCCTTTTTGACTTTACTTTTATTTTTACCTTTTCTTGTATAGGACATGCTACCCATTTTAGAGCTAAAGATGTACAATTTGCCCCATTATTAAAAAAAGAAAAGACAAAGGAATGTACTGCCTGTCAAGCATGAATTCCACTGCCCACAAATACCACCCACTGCCCTTACTTCTACTGGGAGCTGCTCCTGTCCCTAATGTGTCAATGAAAGTTTATCCTAAAGTCACTAATATTCATTCACTTTATGAGACATCTCCATAAATACCAAAATTGAACACATTTTCCCCCCTTAAACCCTCTTTTTGTTCCACGAATATTTCTTCTCTGGTACGGTGTTTCCATTTAGTAAGCAGCCAGCAAAAATACCTTTAGTAGTCCTGGGATTCTCTATTCCCTTCCTGATTCCCACATTCCACATCCTAAATACTTCACATTTCTTCCATTCATTCCATCACCAGTACTGCTTCTTTAGTTCAGGATTTCAATATGACTTGCTTGGTCTTTTGCAATGGTTTCTTAGTTTGTGTTCTTTTCCTTCATTACTTCCTAAAAAATCTTACCCTGTTGTCTTTCTACTTAAATTACTTCAACAGCACTCTATTGTGTACTGATTAATGTATAAACTTCCATGGTGGGACAGGTAGAATACTCCTTTATCCAAGACCATGTACCTCCTCTCTGTTTCTCTCTTCACCAGTGAAGAGACTCGGTCTCTTTCACATCTCCGAACTTCGCACATACTCTTTTGTATAGAAGATGATTAATTCCTGAATGTTCTTTGGAAATGAAAGCTAACATCTCTTCCTTACTGTCCTCACTTTAGTCTTTCTACCCTAACCATTCTGTGCTGCATTGAGGTCCTTTTATATCGTCTACTGAAAGGAGCATAGGTCCCAGGTCATATTGTAAGTACCATTGGTGTGCAGTCTGTTTTGTTCAATGTTCCCTAAACTGTAGTTTTAAGAGTAGTTGCTCAATATTATGAAATAAATGTATAAAATGTTTCAAAAAGGGTACAGAGTCAGGAGTGGTGCTTTGCATATAAATCTTGCCACTCTGGGAGGCTGAAGCACAGGGATGGCAAGTGTGAGTCCAGCCTGAGCAATTTAAAAGAGACTTTGTCTCAAAATAAAAAATAAAAAAGGGGCTAGTTATGTGGCTCAGTGCAAAGGCCCTAGGTTCTACTCTGAGTACCCCACAAAAAACAAGTGGAAAATCAAGACTACTAATAAAAGGAGGTTCTATTTATTTTATGTATCTATTTATTTTATTTATTTATCTATTTATAGCTTTGTCCTGATGTAATTACAAATCCATGAAAATTTTACATAATATTAAACCAAAATGTTAGCAATGCTTTTCAATTACAAGCAATAATAACAATGAAAGCATAATTTACTTCTGAATTAATCTCTAAAGTAAAAGAACCAATTGATTTTACTCTTTATAATGATTTAGAGATTTAAACTATTGTTATTTTAAAACGCAAACTATGTCATGTGAATCTAAGCAAAGCATTTAACCTTCATTATCTGCTTCCTCATCAGTAAAAGGGGCCCAAATACCTATTTCTTATGATTAAAATTTTTTTTTTATTTTGAAACTTTTACATAGTATTCAACAAGCACACTATTTTTACATGGAAATTATATTTATGGTATATCTTTAAAGTTTTAATACATGTTTTTACAAATACATGTTAATACATGCTATTTGTGATATATATAATTAACAAATATGTATTATTAACTTAATAAAAAATTAATTTCAGTACAGAATCTCTATTATTTCAATTTCCTTTTCATCAAACTTCAGATGTCTATTTTTCTTTTTTTTTTAATATCAGAGTTTATGTTTGCCTTCTTGTAACTTGGCGTATTTTTGCTAAAAGTTCTATTTTAAGCATGATAAGTGGAGAGGAAATATTCTTGCCTCATAAACTACCATGAGAAACAGTACTATTTCTAAATAGAAATTCTTAAAGTCAGTTGAGCAAAAAGTCTGTTTCTTGTGAAAGTTTTCTCAAATGAACATACCCGTGGTTTTTAAGTGCATATTGAGCACATGTAGCTTTTTCATTAAGGTAGCTTTATGTATGTGTGGGAGTGGTTGTAAATTATAGACTGTTTAGAATTAACACCAAATATTGAAAGTTTCCAACACTACATGAAATGTTCACATTTATTAAAAAGCTATATTTAGTAGAAGAATTTCAGGGTTAGAAGAAATTATACATGTTCTGAGAAGTGATTCTTTTCAGTAATATTTATACTTCAAGTTGAAAGAAATGATAAAAGAAACCATCATTTATTAGAATTCTTACTTTTACTTTAATATGTGATAAAGCACTTTTTAGCAAAATATATGGTAACCAGGGGCCAGGGATTTAGCTCCATGGCACTGTGCCTGCCTTGTAGGCACAAGGTCCTGAGTTCAACCCCCGGTTTCAAAACAAAAACCCCAAAAACCCCAAATGGTAACCTCCATTCAGATTAATATTTAGAAAACATTGATTATCAACTTGTCTCTGGCATTAATGGTTTTTCATGCTTTAATAACATTAAAGAAAAATAACATGTATAGGTTATTCCAATCATTGTTAAACTAATAAAAATATTACTTTCTCAAACTGTCACACTTTAGGTAATATTATGGCAACTCTATCCATTCCATTACTTTTACACTGAAAATAGACAGCTACAAAATAAGCTCTTATGTTGTTGACTTGTTTTTATTTCCCGGAATACTTGTTCATAAGCCATTACTGATAATTTCAGTAATTAGCCTGATTCCAGATTTTACAGTTATTTGCTCCACTCAGAGATACTTGTGTTCACTACCTCCAGTGTCTACTTTTGTTTTGTTTTTTTTTGGTACCAGGGATCGAACTCGGGTCCTTCCGCTTGCGAGGCAGGCGGTGGAACCACTGAGCTAAATCCCCAGCCTCCTCCAGTATCTACTTTTATAATGTCTATCTGTACAGTCTCCATGACAGGAATGGAGACGGTCAGGTTTTGGCCTCTGTTCCCCCGTATGGCACTCTCCTCCCCTTACCTTCTATGATGTAGATGCACTCTTGGTCAGGGGGGTACTTGCTAGGATAGTTGGGAGAGGTAAAGATACCTCCATTTGCATGTTTTGTCCACGTTCCACACTGCACTGATTTCTGTGTTTCTGAAGTGGTTTGCTTCTCTGTAAAATATAAATAAATAAGTAAATTTTAAAAGAATCATCTAATTTTCTATAACACTAAAAATAGGACATTGTTATAATATCCATTAGTAAATTAATTTTGAAAGGCTCTGTTAGTCAAAACCAATCAATTATACACACTGTAAAATATCCAGACATTCTGGAACATTAAGAGTATGGGGAATATAGGGAAATGCAAAATAATTAGAGGTCTTCCACTAGCATTTTTCCAAAGAAACACACCTGTTCCTTTCTTGGTTGCCCCAGAGAAATGGAGGATGATTAAACTTGCTACAACTGAAATAGAAAAGAAAAATTAGAAAGAGATAATATGAACTGAAAGGACCAAATCTCATAAAAACATAATAAGATTTAAGGATATAATGATACCAAAGCAGATTAATGTCATATTGTTAACTGTTACAAGTTGACTCAGAACTTCCAAAAATTAATTCAAAATGTACAAGAGAAAACTTGGGGAATCACTTAAGGAAGCAGTGCATGTTTATAAGGGGTAAGATCCAAACTCCTAAGGTAAATGCATACCTCAAAACTAAAAGATAACATTATTCTCCTCTACTAATGGTCATATAGATTACAGTGGGATTTCAAGACCTATGCTGTTATTAATCTGTGCTTCGTGGAAAGGCTTTGCCAGCATCTCTAAAGAAAAAAAGAGGGGCAGTAGGTAACAAGAGAGAAAGGAAAAGCAAACAACAAGAAAGAAATCTGTGATTGATCCCAACATACTGCCAATGCACTTATATTTTAGAAAAATAAACAGGCAAATCCTGCAGGGTGCTGGGGAGGAAGAACAAGAGCAAAACAGATTAATGTGGATTGTAGGCATTAAGCACCATTATAAAATCTTGCTTACAAAAATGTAACAAACTACCCTGACCACAGCCCTTCTAAGCTGTGAATTTAATCTTTTCTAACTTTAACTTTGAGTCAATATTTAGTGTTATCCAGAAAAAAATGAGTACGGTTTTTAGGAGCATTTTATTGAGTCGTTGAGGATCAGAGACTGATCTGTAATTTCACAGTAAATCTGCAATGCCATTATAACCTGAACCTCTTTTCATTTCTCTTCTCATGATTACCTCAACAATGGTACAAATCTAAAACTAGTCAAGTAGTTAAGTCATCTAGCATTCAGAACTCCTAATTTTTCCTCTTCTATCTGTTTTTTTAAAATTTATTTCGCCTCCCAATTATATAAAAGATCTATATTCTGATATTTCCACTTAAATTAATTGTGAGGAGGGGGTATATTTCATTATCATTTCAGTATTTCAACTAAGGTTTAGTCTAAGAGCTTATGAATTTATCCCCAAACATTATTCTAAGAAAATTGGAAAATTGGGCTGTGATATTAATATCTGATCAATCATCAAGAGACCATCTATTCCTTAGATTTAAAAATGTAGTCATTGTTACTGTGTTTGTGTGTGTCTCTGTGTGTAAAAACAGCAATACATAGCGGAAACATCACCTTGTCTTGGCACAGCTCTACACAGAGAGAGACAGACATTCGCAGAGACGCTGCACATTTGTTTACTCCGCTCTCCGTTTGGAGGGACTCACGCTATGTAATGTGTGGTGTTTAACTCTTCGGCAAAGCAGATCTCAACTGCGTGGACAGGATTAGGACTCTAATCCTCGCCTTTTAATGTGAGATTTCCACCACACATTTTCTTCCATGGCCAGTTCCTGATTGACTTTTGATGCTGTTTGCCTCCACTACCTCCCCACCTTACACTGCATGCTTTGCCACGCACTCAGAAGCAGCCAGCCAGAGTTCCAGGTCTAGCAGGCAGCAGAGTGGAGACTGCCACTTGCTCTTCCAGGAGCCTTGGGCTCAGGTGTGACTTCTACTACCTACGAAACTGAGAGTGTGGGTCCCCAAGCTCTGCAAATTCGTGCAAAAGGAGTATTTCTTCTTGTCCCACCAAGTAACCACCCCGCTCCCTTGCTGTTTCCACCTGCGCCCTCGCTAGGGCTGCAGATTCCCCGCATGTGCGTGCTCTGCCCGACCCTCAGAGCTGCCTACACAGAGACTGTTTTCCCTGGCGGGCTCTGAGGTCGAGTGACGCCTGGCTGCGCGCCGCCCCCACGCTCGGCTCTGTGATGCTGCAATACAGAAAGTTTACATCGGCCGCTAGACGCGCGTGGACTGCGGGGTCCGGCTGGAGCGCGCGGCCGGCTTCTCCCCTGCGCGTTCGGGGAGGTGGGGGGGCCTGGCACCTGGGGAGCGGCGCGGCGCGGCGGGAAAGGTACTCACTGTGAAACAGACTGCGTCCATGGATCATGTCTGTGCGTTACACCAGAGGCTCCGAGCTCCACTAATTCCATTTAGAGACGGGAAGACTTCGGTGGTGGGGGAGCGGATGGAGGGGTCCAGAGGTTTTAAATATGCAAACCAAGAACAAAATACAGGGGGGAAAGCGATAGAGACAGGAGAGAGAGAGAGATCCGAGCCCACACAGCAGCCAGATCCGAATTAGTCTGTCCTCTGCCCCTGGCTCGCTCCCCGTCACCGCCGCGAAGCCAGCATCCCCACCATGACGCTCGCATCACACCCGGGCGCCGACCGCCACCGTCGCCACCGTCGCCACCGCCGCCGGCAGCAGCCTCCTCCTTTGCATCACCGCCGCCGCCGCAGCTGTCAGGAGGACGCGCGGGCAGGCAGGCGCGGGCGGCGGCGGGCGCAGGGCGAGCCCCGGGGCGCTCGGAGCCGGGGACGGGCAGGGCCGGGCCGGGCCGAGCCGGGCCGGGAGGCGGGCCGAGCAGAGCGGGGCGGGGGCCGGTCCGACCGACGGCAGCGACGGCTGGGGCTCGCTCAGTCCCCAGTCTCGTACACCACGAGCGGCAGGTGGGAGCAGCCTCCCCGGGAGGGTGTCCAGCAGCAGCCCTTCTCTCTCCAGCCCTTGAGGATCTTCCGTTGAGGCATTGAAGACAGGAGGAAGGGGTCCGTCATCGGCTCGCCGGGCTCCGCGCCACCTCTGCGATCTTGCGGAGAGAGGAAGGGGTGGGTGGGCGTCTGGGAGGAGGGCTGGAGGGTGGCGGAGGGGAACGGGGGTGGCCTGAGGGGGCGGGGAAGGGAGGGAGGGAAGGGAGCAGGAAGAGGGCAGAGTTACCAAGTGAGCGCCTTAGTCATAGCCCTGGGCTGCTGGACCCTCCTGGAAGCCAAGAAGCGAGGAGAAATCGGGCAGCTGCGCGCGGCCGGCACCCCCAGAGCTGGTGCGCGGCGGACTGGGGCGGCGACAGCAAGGACATCACAGCTGCCTGGATCCTGGGGGGAGGGGAGGGGGCGGGAGTGAGGACCCGGCTGGGATCCCTCACTCAGCCCGCCCGCCCGGGAGAAGGGGCGAGAGTGGAGCGGGCAAATCCCCAGCTGGACCTCGGCGCCGGAACAGAGGTGGGGAAAGGGGAGGGGCCAGCCTGTGAAAATCCCCTTTGGGGTTCGGGTTTTTCACTTTTTGAGGGTTAGAAATTGCAGCGGGGTTGCCTCCCAGCCCTTAGCTTCCTTCCGCCGGTCCCAGGGGAGCGAGAGCTTTGCAGCTCTCGGTCTTCTCTAGGGCGAAGGCTTCTCCGTTTTTGTCGGTCTGGAACCCGAGGCCGGGTGCTGGAGGAAAGGGCGGGCTGTAAAAGTTTCCGGATAATCCCCTGGTCAGAAGCGGAGGCTGTCGCATCAAATGCCGTGCAAAGAGGCAGGTTCCTGTACTGTACCTTTCCCCTCCTCAAACGATTTGAAACAGCCCCGAAGGCAAACACGGCTCACCCTACCCCCCACATGCAAAACGCGTGCTCGTGGCGCTTTAAACTCGGGGAGAAAAAGAGTTGGTAGAGCAGCAGCACCAGGAGATCCGGAGCTTGTAAAAAGCGAATAAATGAGCAGGAAACAACCGAGCAGCTGAGGCAGCGCCGCGGGAGCCGGAGCGCGGGAGTGCGGGGAGTCCCTCCCAGGCAGCTCCGCCCCCCGCCCAGAGGCGTCCCCCCCTCCTCGGCCTCTGCGGACTCCGCCGCGCCCGCCGGACCTCGAGCACGCAGAGGGGTCCGAGCTCCGTCACTGCCCGGGCGGCCCGGGACCTCCCCGTGACGCGCCGAGGACCTCCAGCCTCCGGAGCCGGGACTTCGCTCCAGGTGGGGATGGAGGCGTTGAGGAGCTGCACGTGGGGAGAACGGAGGGGTGTAGACTGCGGGCCGGAAGCTGGGCTGCAAGGGGGGGGGGGCTCAAAAGGTCGAGGAGAGAAGAAAGGGCCTTGGAAGGAGAAAGGAAAGCGCTGGTAGCTGAGTTGCTGCCGTGGAGGTCCTGCCCGTCACCTGCCAGCACCTGCTGCTGTGTCCCGAGACGCCCACGTGGATGTGTGGGTACGCGAGGGTGTGGGCGCTCGCCGGGGCCCTGCCCACAGATCCTCCCCGCTCCGGGAGAGGGTGGTCTCCTGCCCAGAAATTGTGACCAGGAATAGGGGTGTGAACCTCCAAGTCCAGAGGGGCTTCCGGAGACTCAGTCGCAACCTGCAAGACTCCAGACTCCAAGCTTTTGGTTCCGGGGGGGCGGGGAGGGCGGTAAAGACCAAGTAGAGGTATGTGTCCCTTCTCTTAAGGAAAGGGGGGGGGCAGATTTCTCGGGGGGGGGGGGATCGCGCCTCCGCAGAGCTCCAAGTCCAACAGAACCCAGGCCTGAGCCTGAGAGAGGAGCTACAGACTCAAGAAAAGGAAATGGAGCGAGGATGGGTGGAAACTCGGTGAGTGTCTGCCCGCGCAGTACTTGTAAAAGGTAAAAGTATAGGGGGACAGCAGGTCCCGCTGGAGTCCTGTGTCCCACGTGGAGAGCTAGTGTGAAGGTTGGAGCCCGGAAGCAGCGGTGGGCGTGGAGTTGCAGAGGGAGACCCTCTCCTCACCCAGCTGGGAAGAAGGCGAGCCGCTGGAGTCTGTCAGCAGACCTGTTAGCAGAGGAGTGGCTGGGTGACAGAATGCCTGGGAAACAACAGTTTGGATCCGGTTCACCCCTGGAGCAGAGCGATGGGAGGCCAGTGACTGCAGAGATGATGGTTTCATATTGGAATCTATCTGGAGATTGGATGATCATTACCTTTCACATCTAAATATGCCTTTTATAAGAAAATGGGCCAAGTTCTCTAGTTAAACGATGGAGACACTTAAAATTGTTTTTAAAAACTGCACTGTATTTAATAAGATTTTAAGATAGCAGAATGAAAACTTTGTTATGCTAACACCATATCTCAAGTACCCATTTCCTGCTCCTTTCCCCAGACGAGTTTCCCAGGACACAGATTTGGTAACCTTGCCAGGGAAGTGGCCATCCCTGATGTGTTAGACAGGTGGTCCTTTGATCAGAAGAAAAGATACAGAAAATTCAGGAAGGAAATCCCAGGGAGGGGGAAAAGGTCCCTAACTTTTGAGCATGCCCCCATTTGAAGTCAAATTCTCATAGTGGCTTCTGACCGATAATGCCTGCTGCTATCCTGGGCAGTGCCTGGGGCTGAAGGTTTGTGTACCTGCTCCACCCTCAGGGCCAAGAGTGAGTGTGCACCTCCTGGACCACCTCAGGACAGACCCACAGAGGGGCTGTGTCACCTGAGACTGACCCAAAGCAGACGTGGTGCAATGTTTTGCTTGAGGAGCCTGTCCTCTGCTATTTCGCACACACTCCCATACGCACACACTTCTAACTCTCTACGACATCCTGCTTGCTTGGAGAGCTGCCTTCTTATTTTTGAGTCCCATGATCACCACTTGCTGAGTAATGCTACTTCCCTAATACAGGGAAAATTATATATATTTTCTGTGTAAAAGCAACATATGGGAAACTTTCAGCTTTTCCAAGGAAGGTTATTTGTGCATATGGTCAAATTACATGAGGTGCTTTATTTTGAAAGCAAAAACTGGTAAACTGATAGCTTTTAGGAGTTAAATATGGTGTCCTAGAAGAGAATGTTCTTATTAGAGTTGCCCAAAGTTAGGATTAAAACTGGCTGCAAGATAATACAGAATTAAAGCTTTTTGGACCCAATTAAGTGTTTGTGGTTTCTTTTTAGCTTATATCTCTATAACAGTGATAGGTAAGGAAGATTTTCAAAACCCTCAATGAATTTGTGTAGGCAACTTACACGTAAAATTCAAATACATAATATTTGTCTCTATGCATATGATTCTCTATAGAAAAAAAGCCAGGGTCCCCAAGGGTACTTCATTAATTCTTTCTGTGAGACTGGCAACATTTTAAAAGTCATCTTTCTATTCCTAAAGAGATGATATTAAAAATAACTGAAAGAAAATAATGCCTCTGAAACATTCCATATTACATAGTAGTTTTATTTCTAAGTAACATTTTATTCAGATGGTTACAAGACATAAAAATGTGTTTTTCCACTTTATTCATCAATATACAAGTCATAGTTTATCAAAAACTTAATAAATAATTTGCTGCCTAGTGGAATATTTTTGCAATTTATTTCCAATACTCTATGATGATCTGGCTTCCAGCAATATTGATGAAGCCATTTCTCTTTTATAATCTGTAAGTGTATCCAATCAGAGTAAAAAGTCATCATAAAGAAGAAGATATGTCAAAATCTTTGAAGTCTGACATTTAAATCAAACAAGATTACTCTATGATGATGACTAGGGAAATATAAAATATGTTTTCCTTATAAGTATGAATATACTGAGTTCTTAGCACAGGAATACCAGCCTCTTGCAGGTGAGAAACTTGTTCAATTAATATTTAACTAGTACTTTGTGATATGTAGTTACTGTCCATGTTCTTTCACATCATGTCACAGTTGTGCTCCAGAGACAGTATATTATGTGTTCTACTTAGGAAACAAGAATAAAAATAATTTCATGCTATACCAATCTATGCTAAAAGTTTAGAAAAATTTAATTTCATTATGACTGATATTTGACAATGGCTTATAAAAATAACATGGAGTTTTTTGTAATCACAGAATAATTAGTTCTATAAATCCGCATAGACCAAAAGACTACTTCTAATGATACATCCCGAGTTTGAAAGGAAGGTGTAAGCTTTTGTAAATGTGCTGCCTTTGTAGTAAATATCATATCACAACATCTATTCACAGCTACTTTGGGGAAAAAATAAGTTTCTATCATTTAAAAAAGGGATTGAATCATATTTAGGAGATATAAAATAAGCTGAAAAGTAAATCTACATGTTGTAGGCCAAAATGTGAATACAAACTAAACCTTACTTTAAATTGCTAAGTCAGATATATAATGTTACTTTTGGTATGATATTCATTTTTATTCTTCATTATATAAATTAACAAGTCACATAATTTTAATAACCCTGGCTATAAGGACATAAAATGTTATTATGATTTGTTGCTATGTCATAAAGGAAAATAATAAAAACCAAGATTTGCTTGTTGAGATTAACCCTGAATATTAAGGTAAAGAGATCTTATATCTAACTCAAGAAATACATTTTAAGGAGAGAAATAAGTTTTGGTACATGAAAGTAAATAATGAATGAAAACCTTGCTATTTTCTAAAAACAAACAAACAGAAAAAAAAAAAAAAACCACCCTGCACAGCCATTTATCTGTTATTCTGTCTTTGACTTTCCATTTTTCTCTTGTTCTTTTTTTTTTCTTCTTTTTTTTGTTACCAAGGATCAAACTGAGCACCTTGTGCTTGCAAGGCAGGTGCGC